AGGATTCGCGCCTCTCCAAGTAAGCACAGTGTTGTTGTCTTTTCCGTTGTTGTTCTAGGCATTGCGGCGTCTTGGTGATACTAATTTCCACCCAGTGATCTAGCTTTCCTATATTTTCCTTTGGCTCCCTCTTTTGACCCCCGCATCTAGTTACAAATTTCCTATTTTCATCTCTCCTCTACTTTGAATTCTTTTCCTCTTGATCGGATAAAGGGGCTCGACACGGGATTTTAGATTTCGCTTCTTCGGATATATACGCTGGGGGGGAGGGAGCTTCACTTTCTTTCAGTGGGATAAAAACTTTTGGCTACGCTCCTTTTGTTTGTTAGGTTAATGCTCCTAGGTAACAGGCTCAAGGCTTTTCAACTGCTTTCTTGAGAAATGGACGCCCTCTTGAGCGTAGTTCTATGGATGGTGAGCCCCTAGGGCGACCCTACGCCAAGACCAGCCAGATCACTTACTCTAGTTATCCGTTTCCCCGGCAACCGCTGAACGGCGACAAACAACAAACACAAACTCGGCTTCGGCGAAACGACCGACGACGTCGCTCAACGCTCACCTCCAGATCTCCAGCTCTCCAGCTGTCCATGTCGCAACTGTTGCATCTATGCTACTTGTTCTAGTTCGTGTCCTAATACATATAGCTAATTATAGCTAGCTCTTATTCAATTCCATTCGAGTCCTTCAGTATAACTCCATTTAGTATGCTCGAAAGCCCGGAATCCGGTTGAGATTCAAGTACAGCGGTGATAGTGAAAAGACCGTCTTGGACGGTACTTCCATACCAATTTCCATCATTAAGAGCTTTAGGTCGACAATATGGCTCGAAGAGCACCTGAGTTACCTTCCCCTCCGAAGCGTGTCACCCGAGCGAGAACGCGAACCGTGGCTGAGAAGGAAGAAGCTAATAAAGAAACAAACAACGCGATGGCTGCTTCGACGTCGATCACCACAGCGCCGAAGAGAGGAAGACCACGAAAGAATACAGCGGCCGTCGAGGTTCCGTCAAAGCCAACCACCAAACCCGCTGCGACTGACACGCAAGGGGGTGCCGCGAAACGACGAGGACCCAAAGCCAAACATGTCCAAGTACCGGTCGACAACGACTCGAGCGACGATGAAGTTGATGTTGTTACTGTTAGAACGGCAGCTAAGCCTCTGTCAACCAAGACCTCAACTTCGTCCTGCACAAGGACCACACGAACGAGGAAAGAAACTCCCCTCTTGCCCGAGAACAGTGGGCAGAGTGAAGACGACGATGATGAGCTTGCGCAGCCCCGCCAGCACAAAGGAAAAGTCGTCCGATCGAGAAAAACAGCGACTTTGGCTTCTAACAAAGGCGGGGCATCATCTACCGAATCCGGAAATCAGGCTATTGCTCGCCGAGGAAGAAAGGCAGCAAACGCAGGTGGTTCATCTCGGATGAAGCAATCCGTAGCCGCCCCAGCACGGACAGTTTCTACGCGGAGCAAGCCAACCACCAACGCTCCCAAGAAAAAGGTCGCCTTCTTGGATATGACAGAAGATTTTGATAAGGAGAACCAGCCTCTACCGCGCGAAATGACTGAGAAACAGAAGGGTAAGGCCGCACTTGGCTTAAAGGCCAAACCGGTTCGTCGGCCGGTTACCCCTGTTTCCCGGGACGAGGAGCAGGTCTCCAACGTCAAAGCACAGGTTAAAAAAGAACCTCTATCGCCTAAAAAGCCAAATCAACTCGCCAGAACCAGTCCTTCAGGCAGTTCGGACGGTGCCTTCAGCGCCGCTAGCTGGACAGAATCGGCACCTTTGTTGAAGACGCCTCAGAAATCACCGGTCAAGCTTCCAACTTTGCGTCCATCTTTGGCATCTCCGGCGAAGAAAATAGATTTTAATGCCTCCCGAAGATTAACCGAACCGATACCTAGAGGAAAAAATCCAGCGGTTGATCAGGAAGATACGATGACATGCGGAAGAGAGTTGATGTCCTTGAAAGACTCGATTATGATATCCACTCCTGCGCGCAGACCCCCACCATCTCCTTACAAAGACTCTATCAAAGAATCGCCGAGAAAGGCCCCCATCATGCTTGAACCAATTGATAGTACTCATCACCAAATGTCAGCCGCTCTTAAGATATCTCCTCTGAAAGCATCCGCGATAAAGCCAAAGGGTATGCCGATTCCTTTGCAATGGTCCGTTGCACCTTCGGAGTCGCCGATAAAAGAAAAGAAGTCTTTATTCCAATCTCCGGCGAAACGACTGATATCACCATCCAAGAAGTTTCCACCCATGCTCGATGGAGAACACAGTGAGTCGAGTGTGAACAACATTGGGCAAGATTCTTGCTCTGAATTTCGGGCTTTAGACACTCAATTTGGACGGCTGGGACAGGCCGAAAGTGGCGAATCAAACAGCCCTGCCCGAGAGGACATGAATGACGACGTAATGGTTGATGAAAATGAGCCAATGTCCAACGATGACGACCAACTTCAAGTGTCTGATATGGCAGAAGTTTCCCGAAAGCTGGACGTTCAACTATCAGCCCATATGCAGGATCCGTTTATAAGTCTAGGAGACAAATCCAACATTTCTACTCCAGCGCGTGGATATGAGGTTACGAGCGGAAATTCCAGCATCAGTTCTATTAGACATTTTTCTGGTGTTCCGCCTCCGGCACCGTCACCTCCTGTTTTCACATCTTATTTCCCTCGGCTGGATTATCGTGATGACCTACCTGATGAGGAATCAGACGATGAATCCATGATTACTGTGACCCCCAGCAGAAGTCCAGCTAGGAGGCAGTCGATTCGTCTGGTGAATGGAGCGGACAGTTCTGAGAACATTGGATTTACGCCGTTGGCAAACAAACTTAGCCAATGGAAGCCAGATATTCAGGAAAGGAAGTATCCAAATCGCAGGGGAATGTTTTCAATCGGTGATGAGGAGCAGCTTGATGCAAAGAGTGCTCGCCATTCGTTGGCCATGAGGCACCTGATATCTCAAGGCCCTAGAATCACATCTGTGGTTACCGAAGCTGAAGAAACTCTCTTTGAGGGCGAGACAGCTATACATGAACCTGATACCACCATGGATGGCGATATGCCGAACGGTGATGATGGCAACTTCACGATCCTGGAAGACTGCGATGAGGATACTCTGACAGCCTTTCCTCTGGAGCATAAAGTGGACATAGTAGAGGATGAAAGTGAAGATTTGCGAAGTTGTGTGGATGAAAATATGGCTCCTCAGGAACCAACTATCACAATCAATGCTGCGTTTTTTGAGACAGCACAGCATGAGCCCCAAGCGCACAGCCCTCACCCGATGCTTCCTATGTCAGTGACACCTGTGAGATCGGGTCCACGGTATACACGCACTGTTCATACAGTGTCTAAAGTACCTTTAAAGAGTGAAGACGGGTCTCTAAAAGTTCCCAGAAAAAGAACTCGATCCTTTTCGTCTGGGGCCAACTCGTCGCCACCATCTACCCCAATCGTCACGAGGAGCAAAACTCTACCTTCACCGCGCAAGGCTAGAAGCCCATTGAAACCATTCATTCCCGTTGAAGACGAACCTGATGCCCCTCCTACGCTTGCACTGCCCGAAAGACCGAAATGTGCACCACCCTCGACAGCTTCTAGCCCATCTAAATCGCCACGCAAGCAGCCTCCAGGGCATGATGGCGTCTTACAGGGGGCTGTGGTCTACACAGATGTTCATACAAAGGAAGGAGCTGATGCAAGTGGCATATTTGTTGAGCTTCTTACTCAAATGGGTGCCCGATGTGTAAAGTCTTGGAACTGGAACCCAAGGACAAGTCTCTCCCCTGTGGATGGGGTCGAGCCAAAGGAGAGCAAAGTAGGGATCACCCATGTCGTTTTCAAAGACGGCGGAGTACGAACGCTAGAGAAAGTTAGAGAAGCTAACGGTGTCGTGAAATGTGTTGGGGTCAATTGGGTTCTTGAGTATGTCCTTCCCCACCTTTCCCCTGAATTTTCAAGGATGCAGTGCTAATTCTATCCCACCCCAGCTGCGAAAGGTCAAACAAATGGCTTGACGAGGCGGAATATGCTGTTGATATAAGCATGCTTCCGCGTGGTGGACAGAAACGGAGAAAGAGCATGGAGCCGAGAGCCCTTGGCAATGTCAATGGTACCCTAGTGACACTAGATTGCTCTTCGTCTTCGGGTAGTGGCCGCTCCAGCGTCGACCCGGAAACAATGGAAGAGTTCATGAGACTCTCCCCGACGCTCACACCCCGGTCTTCACGAGATAGCTCGGTAGATTCAGATTATAACGACTCAGAAGACGTGTTGGCAACTCCCAAACCCAAGCGCCGGCCACGTTCATCAATTGCGCCACCTGAAACGCCAGGGTATTCCTATGATTACGATCCGTCTACGTCGATGTCACCAACCACGCCATACTATCTATCTCAAGGGGCAAAACTGATACAGCAGACTTGTCCGCCAAAGCAGTTACGTCAGGGGCTGTTTCCCGTGGATGGAAATAGTGAGGAGCAAACCGAATCGTTGAGAATTCGACTCGACGCTGCAAGAAGGAAGAGCTTGATCTGGAAACCCAAAATTGGAAGTCCTTTAGGGCGGCAATTGTGAGAGGTCGCAGCTAGATTTTCCTTTTTTTTCTTTTTCTTTTTTTTTTTCTTTTTTTCGTTGAAGAATACCCTGTTTAATGCTTTGAGTTATTGGGGTATAACTTGGTGTTTATGGCTCTAGGTTGGATTTTTGGGAGCATTGATATCCGATACGTTGGGGGGCTAATTTCGAGGTTGTATCCACCAGCACAGGGCGGCCAAGTATTCTAATAGAGATGCATCTGGCGGTGATGTTTAGCTATATTTACTTTTGTCAATAATGGGAAATAGAATTGTTCTATTGAAGCTTATGACTATTCTTATGCCGAAAAATGAGCTTTCCTAGACGAAATGGTAAGAAGGAGCCCGAAACCTGTACTTAGAGGCAGAACCTGTATCCTTTTTGTTTGTTTTAAAAGATTGTGCTTCAAATGGTATTCGCAACCGGCTCATCCAATTCTTCACGGTAGAATCCGGCTACCAAAAATGCCAATTCCAAGGCTTGCTTTTCGTTCAATCTCGGGTCGCAGAACGTCTCGTATCGCTCGCTCAGGCCGTCTTCAGTCAAACCTGCTGCTCCGCCTACACACTCTGTTACCGCCTCTCCGGTTAATTCGAGGTGCATGCCTCCGAGGTAGGAGCCAAGAGAGCGGTGGATTTCCAGGGCCTGCTTTAATTCGGATAGGATATCGGTAAAATGTCTGGTTTTCACCCCCGATGGAGTCGCACGGGTGTTTCCATGCATAGGATCGCACTGCCAGACTGGTACGTGCCCCGAGGCCTGCACGGCTTTGATATGTGCGGGCAGATACTCTGCGATTTTTGATGCGCCGTAGCGAGATATTAGAGTGACTTTCCCGATTTCTCGGGAGGGGTTGACGATGTCGAGGAGGGAGATTAGTTCGTCTGGTTGCATGGTAGGCCCGATTTTAATGCCGATTGGGTTGGATATACCGCGGAAGAACTCAACGTGCGCCCCGTCAAGTTGGCGGGTGCGATCACCGATCCAGAGGAAATGGGCGGATGTTGCGTAGTACCCAGTCGGCGAGGGTCTAGAGTGCATGCTGACCCGCCGTGCGGTGGTGTTGTCCGACCCTGGAAGAGCTATCGCGGGGTGTTTTAAAAGTCTGGTTAGGCTTTGTTCGTATTCGAGCATGAGACCCTCGTGGCTGGCGTAGAAGTCTACGGTTTCAATGCCGCGGTCGGTATCAAGTCCGACCGTTTGCATGAAGCGGAGAGAGTCTGTGAGTCGGGAAACTATTCTTTCGTATTTTTCTTTGATCGCTGGGGTGGTGATGTGTCCTAGACCCCAGTCCAGAGGGGAGTGGAGATCCGCAAACCCAGACGAGAGTGCACTGCGAACGTAGTTGAGAGTCGCCGCGGAATGGAAATAGGCTGAAACCAGCCTTGACGGGTCAGGTTTACGAGATTCGGGCGTTGGGTCAAAGCCATTGACATTGTCTCCGCGGAAAGATGGCATTGTTACGCCATTTATCGTCTCACAGGGGCTTGATCGTGGTCTAGGAAATGTTAGAAGCCCGTCTTAGGTCAAGATAACAAAGGAAAGCCATACTTTGCGAATTGGCCAGCGATCCGTGCGATGCGAATAACTGGTTTATTCGATCCTAATGCCGCCGATTTAGCTAATATTCTTCCCTTTATCGGACGAAATATGCTAGCAGCAACTAACCCCAGATCAAAATCAAGCTCATTTGCAAAATCAACTTGATTTTGGATTCGATCATATCCTGGTTGCAATAGTCAAAGAGCTCAGCACAGTCACCACCTTGAAGGACGAACGCTCTTCCGAGCGCCGCATTTTTCAGACTGTCTTTAAGATTTGCAACCTACTGAATGATTAGCAAACGTCAAGTAGCGAACGAGGAGAGGTAAAAGCAGTCAATGATGCATACACATACCTCGTAAGGAGTCACCAAGGGCGGTAGTCTCTGCAATTTCTGCAGAGCAGCCTGAAAGCGCTCCTTGTCTTCATAGACAACCTCTTGCTTTATTGGCTTTGAAGTCCAGGCTAGGATATACAGCAGCAAGGTTAGACACAAGAGTGAACTACGGAAACACGGGAAGCTGTTCTCTTACACGATGGAGTCCAGTTGTCGTCCATTTTCAAGTTTCCCTAACCCAAGCCTTGCGCTTAGACACCCCTCCAGCGGGGGAAAAAAAAAAGGCGAGAATCAAAGAGAACGCAGATGAAGTGACACAGACGGAGTCGCAATGGATTCTTTTTTAGAAAATTTATGATTATAAACACGTTTACATCCCCTTTCAAAGTTTCCGGCGTCGAGAATGCTTCACCGTCCGGCCGCGAATCACCAATGACTCATTCGAGAGTTATTTGATTCGGGGCGGAAAAGAGTCTTCAGGTTAAAAATTCTTTTTTCTGCGGCTTTTCAACCCCTGCACTTGTCAACGCAAAGGCGCATTCGATGTTTGCCCGTCTTGATATGTGGCCCAAGTCGAAATCTAAGGCAAAGCTGATGAATGATTTGAGAGGGACACAGAAAAAGTCAATTTCGAGAAAACTTTCCTTGCGCGCGCACGCAGTAACTTCGTTAAATTTAGCTACACCCAGGCGAGCACTGCTCGCTCCTCGGCGGCCTCTTACGTTGTCTAAGGCTTTGCGTTAAAATTGCATTGATAGTTATTCAAGATATAACTCGCGGATCAATGGCAGGGAGATTTTGAAGATTTCCTGGTCCTTGATGGCATTCGTCTGGCGCGTCTTACATGTCACGGCGCCTTTTGAGAAGAATTTCTAAGTCGCATTGATGCCGATGAGTAGCGGTTACTTGGGAAGTTATATTCCTGACGGTCACGATGCATGGCAAAGGGATTCGAAAGGTCACACACATACGAGCCCCAAAGCCAGCTCGGACCAAGCCATGTGTTCTGCACAAAAGTTGCCTTTCTCGGGCAAAGGTGAATGACCAACGGCAGCAGGTCACTAACTAGTTCTCAGGCATGGGACAAAAGGGATCTGGCGATATCCTCTAGCCCCCTAAATACTCCGACCCTTGCACGAAGTAGTAGCCTTTCAACGAGGCTATGCGAAGCTCTCAACTTTCGTGAGGTTATCTATTTATTTATTGTATCCGCCCCTTGTTGGATCTTCTCATTGTCCCATTGCTCCCTCGCCTTGAGCCTTCGGTGGCAGATTTCTTATCCAAAGCTATATCTTTTACTTTACCATACTTGCCTTGCCGGTCATGCCATTATTGCCGCCTTCGCTCGCACCAAGGGCGATAATATCGCTACAATCCTCAAACTTGTCGCACACACTCGGCCATGGCCAGCTTACTCGCATGGTAGCAGCTTCGGGTTTCCGACAGCGATCATTACGTCCCCGCGGCATGCCGCATTTTCGATGCATCAACGAGCAACGGAACGGCAATGCCTGGCCATCGGACACCACAAACAAACCGGGATCTCGCGCCACCACAGCATCGATGCCCCGGGTGCCCATTCTGGATCAACTAGGAGCTTCACGCCCCGTTAAGATCACGATCATCATTTGCCTCTGCATCTTCGGCACCATGGAGACCGTCTTCTATGCCAAAGCCGCAATGCGCTATTTTTACCCTCCCGAAGAGCACCAGGGTGAAGAATCGGATTAAATCCTACAGAGATGTAGACGGTATGATTACTATGACTTCCTGTCAGTGTTATCGCGGGGGCTGAGATCGCTTTGGCTTTAGTTCCGAGCCTTTTGAGTCATGCTAGCGCGGCGCCTTGGGAAGCAAAGAAAAGCTCTCAACCTGGGATTTACTTGAATGTAGCAAAAATTGGGCGACGTATTGGTATCACCGGGTTCTACCTTTCTAGCCGTTTTTGATGATGGTTACTTTGTATTATAGAGTAGGTTTGGTTTTCGAGTTGGATTGGATGGCTTCGCAATTCCACTCCCTCAAGATCTCCCGGCATGTCCCGAAAAGTCATGGGATGTACTTCAATTCTGTAGGGAGTACTCCGTATAGGCGTCGGATTGGGACAGAGCGCACATGTGGAGTATGTTGCCGGGGGCCAGATCGCATGGTCTGGCATGCTTGGAGAATCCAATCAACAAGCATTTCGGATCATATGTTCTGTTGGTGGTGAGTTGGCTAACCAACGCCATCACAGCAAGGTTGCCGCAGGGCTACATCCAATAATTCATCAGGGCCCTTTTGCTCCCCTGAAAAGAAGTTCCAGCACCATCAGAAGATCATACTGTGTTGATGGAACAATCTGATCACTGAGATTTTCTCTGATTTTGCGGTCAAGCTGTTTAGGATGTGCACCATAAAAGTGCTTAGGCTTAGCACAGGCCAGCAAACCTTGTGAGGTTTACAAAAAAATAATCTCTTCCAATGCATCTGGAATCACCAAAGTCATCTTCTATGATAGGGAGAGTTGACCTCATAACTAGTTTCTCATTAGATGCACGAGCATTTGCTTATTTAAATCTCCGGAAATCATCCTGAGTAAACTTAGGCGGTGGAAGAGAGCGTCGTGGACAAGGCAAATCTTTGATTTATTTCCTCCCGGATGTCTGGTATGGCTGGCATTCGTCCATTCGGGATACTCGTAACCGTCACGATAGATGATATGGCCAATTAAAATGCTGATGGAAATTATGGTCGTAAGATTAATAGTGGTGCTTGTACTCCGTTTATGACCCAACAGCACCTTAATGAATAGCAGATACAATGACTTCTCGCTGTGCTCGCGGTTTGCGTAGTGTTCTTTGGTAACTCCTGTGAGGGATCGACTCTTTTTTTTAGCTCTGGTGTCGGTCACATGACTGGAGATACGCCCGGGACGCTTTCGGGTAGGTGTTTAGGTACATAACTGTTGAACGCGACGGCCCCACGGCCTCTTGCGCAGACGACGTGAAACCAGTACGGAGGAGACCACTGACACAATGGCGGAACCTCTGCCTTCGGCCACACAAGCAGCCAAAGCTGACAGCGCTTCAACCGCGCCCGATGACCTTCCCGCCAACGCTGAAGATCGCGCCGCTGCAGTCGCTCTCTCTTCTCTCAACACCACCACCGCCGCAGCCACCGAGGATGCACAGACGGGGGTTGCTCTCCCCTCGAAAGCCGACCAGGAGGCGCTGGGCAAGGCAATGAGTCGGCTGGAGGCTCTTGCGAGTGCGACTGGGAAGGCTGGGGCCAGCGCTCCTGCGGCCACCGGTGCAACGAAGAAAGATACAACTCCCACCGGAAAGAAGGAGGAAGAGAAGGTTGTCAAGAAGCCTGCAGTGAAGGTCAAGGCGGAAGATGTCAACATGTTGGTGAGTAACGGTGTCGCTTACACTTCTCTGGCCAACGCTCTTTTTCTTCTGGCTGGAATTTGGTTTGCTCGTTATTGGATAACCAACCTTGTTTCACCGCGAAATCTCCAACATATATAGGTTGAACAACTTGATCTTGCTAAACCAAAAGCTATTGAACTGTTGAAGACACATGAAAACGACCCTATCAGGGCCTTGCGTGCGTTTATAATGCCGCCTACATCTCCTGCGTGAAGTCCGCCAAACCTTGCCTTGTTTAAGAGCAGCTTCGGATACTCGGGAGGTTTTGGACTGCATATCTTTCCAGGCCATATGGATGTAAAGCGTTGAAGTGCTCTTGTGACATTAAGGAAGTATGCTTCAAAAAGTATGAGGATCCACCAGGTTATCTCTCCATTGCCACCCCACAATCCACAGAGAATGCTCGGCGATTAAAGCACTGGCTTCGGATTTAATAGCATATATGCGCGGATGTATGTATGTATGTATGTATGTATGTATGTATGTATGTACATATAACCTGGATTGGATATATGTGTGGATCACATATACCAAAACATGCGATCACAAAATCAGACGTCTTTGACAGGGTAGTCAAAACCAAAAGATCACGTTCAGGTGGGCACGGCATTCCCCTGCGATTGTGTTCATTGAGACGGAGAATGGTGTGTTTTATCTCCGTTTCCTTTCTCCGTATTTCCCTCAAATATGGTCCAAGTAAGAGCCCAATTGAGTATCGCTATCAAAGCTAGCGCCCACCAGACACCTCCCACAATGTTATTTTTCAACCCCAGGCCCAATCCCCATCCAGCAAGTAGCGGGCCTACTGCTCTTGCACCGCATGCGACACTCTGCGCTACACCATGTACGGTGGCTAGGACGCTGGGATCAGGCACAGAGTTATTAACCAGGATAACAGTCGCCGGAATAGAAAATGTCCTCGAAATGACCTGCAGGAATATCACAGCCGACAAGGCAGGCCAGATGACATACGATCGATCTGGTAACAGGACGAGAAAAGGTGCCAATGAGTAGGCCAGAGGAGAAAAGGGTAAAAATACCCTGAATGCTCTCAACGTGCCGAGGCGGAACTGCCATCGCGGGTAGACGAGTATCTGGAATGGCAGACCGATGATTCCAATTATGGCGGTTGCTAGGCCGACGCGAGAGCTGGGCATCCCTAGACCGCCTCCGAAGAGGAAAAGACCCTCGCGGCTGTTTGGAGCGCGGGGCGCCGGCAGGAATAGGAAACATAGAGCATTGAAGGCGCTCGTGTGTAGCGGAAGTACGAAGTGGGTGAGCAGGGTAAGGAGAACGTTCCGGGTCCACACTTGTCGAAACGGAGGGCGCTTGCGACGGATGGTGGGCGTTCGATTGGTCGTGGGACTCGCTGGTGCGGATCGAGCTGGTTCACTGGGCTGTAAGTCGATAGAGTCCACTCTTTCTTCGTCGAACGTTTGGTTGAGCGGTCGATAAGTGTAAGAAGATGGCCGCCTTGCAACCTTTTTCCACAACCAGCGACCCCAATCGGAACGATGTTTGACGATCTCGTGTGTCTAGTGGTTGGAGGGGGGGAAGGTTAGCTCAAGGAATCCGAAATCCGTGGGCTCTGGGAAGAGCTTACTTCATCAAGTCCCAAGAACACTGCAACAAGTGCGATTAACATGAACAATGCACTGATGAAATTTGGTAATGCGTAGGGCCATTGCTTCATCCACCAGACACCATCTTTGCCACCGATCAGGGAGCCCGGACCAAATAATCCAGGGTAGTTCTTGACCGGGTCTGCTAGAATCCCACCAAGTATCGGTCCCAAGATCATGCCAGTGTTAAAGCACATAGGTAGAAGCAGAAACGCTCGCGACTGATACCTAGTAGATGTCTATCAGAAAGTCGAAACAAAAACAAATTTGCAAGGAGTGTACGGGTATTTTGATAAGCTTACTCTTTCCCTTCGATTATCTCTGCAATCATCGCTCTCATCACTCCGGCATTGCTATTCAATGCACCGCCTAGTATTCGGAAGACCACAGCGGCAGCGAAGGACTTAGAGAGACCAAAACCAACCGAGGATAAGCAGGCACCAAACAGTCCTATAAGCAACACCCGCTTTCTGCCAAAGAATTCGGTGTCTGCTAGCCGTCCCCATATCACACCCGTAGCAAACTGCGCAGCAGTAAAGCATCCTTGCAAGATACCCGCTTGTGTGGAAACCGTAGAGTCTGGAAGCGATGGATCGAAGGATTTCACCTGGTGGAACATATAGGCTTGAAGCGACGTCTGTGCAAGAGGCTCTGCTAGACGGGCGACAGTGATGATGGCCAACTGGCCCTTTTTCGGAAGCGAGCGCCACGACACCGGCTTCGCGCTAGGACCCTCAGCGCCATCGAGGGCAGTGGTCTCGTCTTCCTCGTTGTACGAGTATCGACGTCTGCGGCGGGAAGGAGAGAATGGAGGCTCGAGCGGAGGGCGTGACGCTTCAGACATCATACCTGTTAGGTCCGGAGTGCCCGATTGCACGCTACGATGATCGTCATCACTCATCCGCCGCCGCCGGTCGCTGCCATCAGAAAATGGTCGGTTAAGCTCATCTTCAGATGAAGCGGATTTAGCGAGATCATCTCTCGATTCAAAACGCGATCCCATTCAAAAGGTGACGGGAACTTGGAGGCACGCCCTTTGCCAAGCGGCCTCGTGCAGACAAGCTTTTTTGATTGTGCCGATTGCCGGGAAAAACGCGCGGGCCAATAGTTAACTGCTAAGTTGCTCGGCTGGGTGGGCTGGTTTCTCAACTCTCACGATGCACTGAACAAAGTATATAGAGATCATGGAGTACAAACGGAGCTTTTATTCAAAAGATAACGCTTCGCAAAGCCTCTTGCTAATTCCATGCTTACCCAAGCCTAAATCGCTGTTCGTGGCGATGACGATCCCGGCTCGCTGTTGACGGAGAAATATATTCCGCTTTCTTTTGGATGGCGGAACCTTGATTGCATCGTTTAACGAAAACTGCTTCCCAGCGGCGGAAGCATTTGCGGAGTATTTCTTCAATGGTTCCCTGATATGATCATATTCGACAAATAACCGGGTGAATGCTATACCATGAATCTCAGTCGCTGTGAGACGGTTAGTCCAATGTGAAGCAAACCGTCCAAGGTGACGACTTAACTGTGCCAAAACCCGGGATTACTTGAAGTATGAAGGCCGTAGAATTACTTCAAGAGACAGTTCACTTACACAAGAGACCCACCCATATCGTCATCTGCACTCTTCTTGGAGTGTACTTCTTGTGCCGTTGGTGAATAGCGATAAAGGAAAAGGAGGACGAAAGGGGGTAAGACGGGGTATTAATTACAGCATGCGCTTCAGCGACTCGCAATATGACTGGAGATGGCAGACACGCTAGGAATATATGCTTAATTCTCGGATATCTACTGGTCCAACTCCAGGGCACATGGTAAAATTACACGTTCTTTGTTTCTGTAACCCCTATAATGATTGATGGGGGGCCATATCAGGAGGAATATACACCCTGCAAAAACAATGATTTGAAGTCTAGAGTCAGAAAATTTGACAATTAGCATAGATTCTTTGAAGCTGATGGTATCCTGTCGTCAGTAACCGTCCTTGGAGAAAACTCCGCCCTTGACCCATCATGCGCTCGGAATATAATTAGGCCTGTAGAAAACTGGATGAAAGCCCAAATCGCCAGATCCCCTGTCACTGGTGCCATTTCTTTCAAGAAAGGAGAGAGAAAAGCGATGGAGCGAGATGTATCAAGGAAGGACGTAGTTGTGCTATACGAGATAGCAGCGCCACGTCTCTACCACTATAATTTGCACTCAATTGTCTGTCCACCTTCCCAGGTATCACCCGGCTCAAGGGTCTGCCAACCGACTACCGATCCCGCCTCAACACAGATCATATTTTTATATGCCTCGTCAGGAGCAAAATCGGCCATTCCCTTGGCCTTTTCAATCCACGGGTTCCACACAACGACGTCATTCAGCGACTCACGGGTAATAGAGAAGATTGGCTTGTCAGATTCCGACGCTATAACTATTGGCACTTTGGGGTCCAGAGACTGATAGACCCGGTCTACCTCCCCTTCAACTGCGAGTGCCGGGGATGATTCTGTGAAAGCCTCAGCGTTCCGGACTTTATCAACGTATGTTTTCGACTGAAGGTTCTGGACTCGAATTTTGGAGATATCCTATTTAGAGCCCAAGTGTAAGCCACCTTGGAGGGGAATCCGTAATTCTACGGTGGGGATGGTGTGACCCATACCTCGACCTTAAAGTAAGAATGCAGCAGAGTCTGAAATTCAAACGATTTCAAGCCCTCGTTCTGTACCCGTAACGAGGTCTCCAGGCTTCGTTTGCTCAAAGTAACGCTGTAGACCAAGCCAAATTCATAGGGCCAGTCGCCTTTGAACTTGTCGCTAAGCATAGAGTTTGAGAGGCCAAAGTCAAGCTTAACGCTTGCTCCGCTCTCTGACTCGGATGTAGATTTACCAAGCAATTCCCATGAGGAATTACGCACGAAGCCGTGTTGTGGAAGGGCGGACGTGGCATGATTCTGCGGAGGAGGTCCAAACACCTAAGTCAAAAACATTGCGAGCCAAAGTCAGTTTATTGTCGTCTGTAGTAATCTAACGGATGGGATGTTTAGTCTCTCAGCGTACGGGGAAGACCAGTGGAATTCCACCACGAATAGGTTTTGAGCCGTCCAGATGGGCCTTTTCACTCAGGAACAGTAGCTCGTGTCCGTTGGCCAGCTTCCATGAGGTGACTGTGGCTCCAAAGAGATGAACTGTGACTGATTCCCCCGAAGCCAGCGAGGCCTGTACCCTCCCGTCCTGAACGGTGACCGACGGTTGCGGGAGAGAGGAGGTGACTGGAATGGCAGCGGGCTTGTTTGAACGGTCCATTGTCGCCGAGTTCAATTGCTTGCCAGCGAATGCAGGTCGAGAGATGAGTTGCAGGAGAGAGAGCGAGCTGGCGTCCAATGGACCGATATGAGCTGGAGGGGCCGGTCGGTCTTGGGCTCAGACAATGCGTGTCTGAGCCAACAGCAAAATGACATAACACTGGCCGTTGTTTGGTGTTCGCCCCGCCGCCGCCACGGGTGCCTTCCAGCGGTGGTTGCCGCCCGGTGATTGGCTGGGCCGGGCGCTCGGCGGGTAGCCTAGCAATTTAGTGCGGGGTACGCAGTAGGGGCTTGCTGGGGGGGCTCGCCGCAGGGAGGACGCTGGGCATTGTGCAGCGCGCACTGCGATCCACGGACGGGGAGGATGGGATGAGCCCATCGCACCCAGGTCTCGAACAAGTCTGATGGTCGAGTGGGACCGCACATCGACACTAACCACCCTGACGGCGCTCCTTATAAGCACCACTTAGACTACCTGCGCTTTCAGGGGGTCACACGCGGCCTACTGGTCGAGCATATATGTATGGAGTAAAATCAGGGCGTCGCTTAAAGAGCCGATGTACGTACGGAGTATATCGTGGCCTTATTGAGTGTAAATTAGTGGTAGGTACTCCGTACAAACGCTGTTCATGATGACTTTCCAGGTACACAGGCCTAACTATCAACGGCTAACTAAATCAAATCCCCTTCAATTCTCCTTCTCCTTGACGCTAGCAAATGGCAACAAACATGACCTCGCTGTGTCACTTGTCTTCTTGAGATGAAGCTAGTTTTGCCCTCGCTTTGTTCCTATCTTGCTATCAAGCACAGCAATTAGAGTAGTGGTTGCCCACAGCCCGTAGTCAAAACATGTGCAACTACATCTCTCAACTCTGGAGAGAGGGTGATACTGCTCATCAAAACCAAACTTGAAATTGTACTTGTTGGCTGTCACAATCATTTTCCCTCACTTCTGCCATGGAAATCAAGTTGTGTGCAATTGGTAATAGAAGCTCATGGAAGTGTCTAAACTAGAGCTTAAGACTCTTAATGTTGTCGCCTTCCAGGGAAATTGTGTCATCATCGGAGTCGACCCAGCTTTCTGTGAGCATGGAGTGAAAGCTCTTGCTGCCTTCCATCAACTTGGCTTTGTCAATGTGAGTTGGCGCGAGCTTTTCTGACAATGTGGTTTATTTGTTTTCGGGTCAATTTCCATATCCCTTTCACGGTGGTATTCGATAACCTTCACTTGTAGATTGCCAGCGTCAGTTCCCACGTCTGATGCAAGGAGATGTTTGTTCAAAGCAGTGGATGGATGTGATGGAACGGTACCCAATTGTTTAGATTTGTTAAAGGTTGATAGGAGGGAATCTGGTCTGCTTCCTCCACTGAGCTTCCCAGTCATCATCTCAAGCACTGAATCCGGAGCAATGGATGTGAAGAAACATGTAGAAGCGTAATAGAACCAGGTAAAGCTTGGTTGAAACAACGAGCACCTGAGATTACAGAAACAGGGATCCCAATACCAGCGCCATCCATATGCATAGTCCTAGTGTCAAGACATAATCAACAGAAGAATCGAGCACGCTCACCTGGAACACCAAAGGGTAACGCATAAAGATTTGATGAAAGAGTCCAGAGCGCCATCACATCTACAATACAATAGGGATAATGATCATTTTTTCCCCGGGGGGGGGGGGAAGGAAGGTTCTCATCACCCAGCATGTCTTCTCACTGCTTCATGAGCTTCCATTTTAATATCAAACATAACATCGTCAATTTCCCGCAAAAAAGTCTTCTCGAAGGAAGCTCCTTTGATGCAGTCGAGAACGGATCGGAGAGATGCAAGGACAGAGACATTGAGAGTCTCCGGGCCATTCTCTACGAGAGGCTCACATGGAGTCGCCTTTACTTGTGGGATGTTGTCCTCTCCAGTACCGCCTTCTGATCCGGTCTGCTCGAACACTGCGACTCGCTCCACCTTTGAAACATTGTCCATCTCTGATCCTCCGCATCCAGAGGTTGCCTCGGCATCTTCAGTGGCCGGCCTTCCGCGAAGCCGGAGTGATCTTCGTTGAGGACATGTCTGCGAACCGGGAGAGCCTGGATTCGTCGCGTTTGGCTGGTTTTTGCGTGCGGATGGCCTGGTTGACTTACGACTCCGTTGTGATTTTGTTGACTGCATCTCACTCGTTAGACCGGGCGATTCCTGCAGGGCTGTCTGATCTGCAGAATTGGAGGTAAATCCGGAGAGGTCCGGGCCTGGGCATCTTCCAACCTCGACGGAGAGACCTGTACCACGAGTAAGTCGCTTTGTCCGGTCCTTCCGAGTGTCAGCAACGTCTCTTTTTCGCTTTTTCGCAGAGGTCGAAACCCGGGCTTTAGCATCAGATAACTCTAGGTCCATAGAAAGCTCTAGGTCTTGCTCAAGCTGGGAAGCAATCTGCTGTTCTAGCTGGTCGCTGAACGAATCGGGAACAAGGTCAACGTCCTTCTTCTGTTCCGCACTATCCTTACGTGTTTCGAGTAGGGCAGGTAAGGCCCGTCTATTTGTGCCGGGAGGGCCTTGAGCGATTGGCTTTTCGACGGGAGGATCGTCGGATGATGGTGACTGCGACTCCTGTGACTCCTGCGGGTCATGAAAGAAGGTGTCAACTGCGATTGTAGGACCTTTCTGGACACATGCACCGTTTCCTTGAATTTCAACGACATTATTTTGGTTGCCCGGTGGAGTTGGCCCCAATGCTACAGTTCCACTTCTGAACTGCGAGTGAGGAGTTGCTGACGATGATTTACCGCTCGGCTCATTGGGTTTTTTTGGTGTTTTAGTTTTCTGAGGCCTCGATGATGCTGAAGCAGCGTTGATGTTGGGTGAGGAGCTCCACTCAAATGCTGATAGAGAGAAATCGGTGAGCTCCTGTGCGCTCTGTTCTTTAGAGCCTGGTGTCGGGGAAGAAAATGTGAAATCATCCTCATTCGCGCCTGATTCCGCCGCAATAACGGGAGTAAGTGGCTCGCTGGCGAATTGGTCCGAATCCGGGTGGGTCTCCTTGGAGGCAGCACCCGGAATCTTGGGGGATATGGCAGCTGTGGGAGCACCGGGAAACAATGATGCATTTTCTAGACGCTGCCTTTCCCTCACATCCTTTTGACGCTCCGTAAGGAGTTGTGTTTCTGGCAAAGCATTGGATGATGGAGAAGACTCCACAGGGACAAATTGTATTTGTGAACTATCGTGGCGTAACCGGGATTTTGGGGTTGCAGTTTTACTACTTTTAGGCGAACAAGCTCTCCGTTTAGTACGGCTATCCTTCTTCGAGGATGAGGGAGTAACCATCAGGGATGGTGAGCTTGAAGGTCTTTTATAAATCCTGTCGCGCCGGCTCATCGGTCCAAGTGGCGAGTCGATATTTGGTGACTCTTCTGGAGAACTTAGGAATTTATGTGGCGGAAAGGATTCCTGACCATTATTAGCAAATTAGGCGCAGACTGGGAACGTATTCGTGAATACCTTGAGTTCCAGTTCATGCTGCCAGCCTGGGAGCCGGATGCTTGTAGATGCCCCCAACTTTCCCAACGCTGCCTCTAATCGAGCTGGGTACTTCAGAGTCTCCTGTAGCCCGAATGTCGAGTTCCATTCTCTAATAAAGCTGTTAACAATGGACTTATGGCGCGATTCAAATCCGGAGGCGACCATTGGAGTCAACTGATTCAATAGTTGGGAGTCAGTACTCCCAGAGGAGCGCAGGGACTGAAAACTAGCCAACACGATGTTCCGAACCTATAAACATGAACGTTAATTTTCAAACTAATTGGCATCAATAGCTTTTACCTACAGCCATGGCGAGGCACTTATCAGAGCCAGATGTGGCGCTATATTGGCCTTGAGCATCAGTAATCCACACGGAAAGACCATTTTGAAGCTTCTCCAAGAGCGTTGATTGAAAGTCCGGAGGGCATTTGTCAAAGCAGCGCGCCACTGCTTCGAGCAAAATAAGCGTATCGCTTTTGCTAAACTCCTTTTGCTTGACATAGGCATCCTGTAGGGCTCTTGTAACGAGCAACAGCAACTTTTCGCAAGAAATAATGTTAATGTTTTGATGCTTGGGGCCGGTAATTGTTTGCGCAAAGGGCGGCAATTGCTTTGCAGTATGGGTACCCGGAAAGACAATTGCTTCGAATAGCTTTACGACGCGTGGAATTGATAAAAAAGAGGCACTATTGCAATCTTCAGAGATTGCGTCAATCGCAGCAGATACAGCGGCGTCATCCCCTTCGGTTCGCACAACCGAGATCATAGATTGGAAGAGCTCGATCCATTCTGGCAAAGAACCCGGCAATTTATTTCCGACTTTCAAAATGGCAACAGCCTTGTTGAAATCGCCAACACTGATGTCATCTCGTCGCTTATTCGGTGTGCCTATATGAGCTTCCTTCAAGCACTCCATTGTTACAGTGGATATGGCTTTCCAGGCATCTTGCACACGAGATACAGACGGTGGAATTTCCGTCCCGGCTTCTTCGAGGATCTCTGTGAATTGTCGAAGTATCTCCAATCGGGGGCTCCTTGAGGAGTGTCCAGATACAGCGAGCCGGATTAAGTCGTTGACAAGGTCATAGTATTCGGACGTTGGTGCGGAAGGAAAGGAATTAAGGATCATATTAAATAAATGAAGAATAGGGGCCCGTGTGATTCCATCTTTTTGGTGTCGGTGGGTGGGAGTCTGCGCCGGTTGAAAGGTGTCTTGGGTGGTTCTCAAAAGTAACTTGTCAGTAAATGGAAACGGCGTGATAATTGATATCATGTTGGTTAATAAAAAGCGGAAGCGACTGAGGAATAAATCAAGGTTGTCTGTCAATTTTGCATTCAATGATGTTTGGGTTTCTCTCCAGACGCGTTGAAGCATGTCCAGTAGGGCTGCAATAGCTTTCATTAACTCTGAAGAGGGCTGAATTTCTTTGCTGGACGCGTCGGATAAGGCCTTCATCATATGAATCCAGGCAAGGCCTATCGGGGAGCCTGTAATGGCATCGTCACTCCAGTCGGCGTTCTTGAAAAACGATTCAAAAATCGGAAGGATTACAGCAATCCTTGACCGCACCCATCTGCAATCCAGTCGTAGCAGGTCTTCTGGCTTGAACCTTGCGGTTTCAAGCACTTTTCCCTCAACCCAAACTTTAGGATGGGGATTCCAAAGGAGTTCCGCAAAGATTCTACATGCAAATCGCATGTTACTATGATTCGAATTCAATCGATGCTGGAACGGAGAAGATATATATTCTTGCCAGCAGGCATCCAGACGTTCATGCGAGGCGGAGGGTCGAAAGGAATAATAAAGTAAATTGCAATAGCTGGAAAGCGCCCGATCGATGAGCGGAGTAAAAGTCTCATCCTTTCTACGTTCTAGTTGTAGAAATACCGGCTTGCTCAGAAAGGTCAGATCCTTCCCAGCCGGCTCGTTTGTTTGCGATGCATATACCAAACGATCCCAGGCAACCAAAGCTTGAGTCTTCGTTGGCGTGTCACTGCAATTAAAGCACTTCTGTATAACCAAGATCCACCGCCTGAAACTTGCCCATCCGTTCAAAGACGCTCGTGGCTTCCGTAGGAGGAGAATAATAACGCTCCAGATCTGAGGCACATAAACGCTTCCATCTCGGCTTGTGACCATTGTTATCAATCGGCTGCATAATTCGTCAGAAAACTTTGCACCATTTTCCATGGTCAAGTCCAAAGCATCTTGAGTAGCCTTTGAGATTGACGGGTTTGGACCAAATGACTTTGCAGCCTCCAATCCGAGTTTAATAGCTCGTACTCGGATGTCTTTCACTCGATGAAACATAGCCTTTATAACATGATCAATCCACAGGCTCGCATAAGTTGCCATCAATGAGCGTGCTTGCTTCAGTAGACCTTCATAGATACCTAATCGCATCATAACTATTGATTTACCGCCGAGCCGGGTTGTGATATCCTCTAAAGTGTGCAAGAGCAGCGTGATTCTCGAGGAGGTGAAAAGCTTCGGCTGAAAACTCTGCACATATAAAATGCGCATATCGTCGATGACAATAGTCTTCGGTGTGGACGGGTTTTGAAGAGATCCAATGGCAAGATCGAGGACAAAGCTTTTGAAGTCATCCGAAATACGTCCAGCGAACTTGGGGTTCCAAAGAAGCAAACACAGGAGGCTTGAAGCTTGGTGAAGAAGAGATATTTCAAGATGTTTAAATGCGCTTGATGTAATAGTGAGGTCTCGGCGAATATATTGCGTTAATAAAGGCATCTTCTCTAGTAATGCAGCCGCATCGGGCAGGTCAGCGTATGCGGCCAGGCTGCCCAGTAACTGCATATATGCATCGGTTCTTGAAACGCGACAATCTCCTTCAAGCTGCTGCATAATGGAGTCCAACATGCTAGGCAGATCGTCCATCGGACTCGACCGTGGTTCGTCTGGGGTCTCGACATATGGTCTGCTCTTGAGAATGGACTTCGCTGGTTTGCATTGTTTTGAGGGACGTAAGCTCGGCAAAGGAGGCCTTGAATTCTTTGCAAGCGAGGCTGGAAACTCAGGTGCCTTGATATAACTTGTCAATGGAGAGAAATTAACGCGTTTCAAGCTTCTCGCTGAGAGTGGATGCGGGGAGATTAGAGACGTTGAGGAGTGTTCGTTGGCAGGAGGGGAGCATTGAAGTTCAGACGTCCGTCTAACTTGTTCTGTCCGTGAGACTGATGAAGATCGTGGAGGAGTTGGTGGGCGGGCTGGGAGGGCGCTCAGTCCGCCTTTGTCGACCATGCTTGCCAGGGAGAATAAAATGAAAAACGATCAAAACTGCCCAATTCAAATCAAAACATGCGAATAAAGAACATATCGAACATAAACTGATGGGATTGAGTAATCCTCCAACTCGAGGCTATGGAAGTTCATCGCGCGCGGTCTGCTTGGTAACTACCATTTTTTGCCATGAGAATCGGCGGCGAGCGTTGGATGCTGAGAGCGCGAGCCGCGTGAGATCGCGGTCGTGTAACTCGTCGACGCGTCGAGCGTGATTACATAATAGATTCCAATTTAACACGCGGGTTCTTGGCGCTCTTCGGAGCGAGCAGGAGATCGTCTGCTCCGTCGGCAAAGAGTTGCATTTCATCGCAAGCTCCCCCACATCAGCTCTCTATGCTCTCGGATGAAGGAGCTCCCAAAAGCATACTCTGTACTCCGTACTCCGTACAGAGTAGTTAACATGACTTCCTGGGGGAGAAAATGTGGTGAATGACTGCATTAACCTTTGCCTGCACCCCATATGGAGGATCTCCCATTTCCAATTGTATTGTTTTGGTTACAACAGGGCATCTCTACGGAGTACCCCAAGCAGTTTGACTTTAAGTAACTACCTCAATGCATCCCCACCCGTAGAAATCGAATTCCTTTTTGCCTTTTTTCCTTTCTTAAATTGACCTTTATGTCAGCATCTTGTCCCCTTCGTTAGCAGCATGCCTCACCTGTCCACCCCAAAATCCCACTTTACTACATTTTCGTCGTAACGCGACTTGATTGCCATCAATTTGAGCCTATTCATCAGCTTTAAACTATAATGGGCGGCATACTCTGTTTTAACATGGTTGATATGAGAAAGGGATCTACTCCGTACAGGATACTTCAAACCCGACGCCTTTCATGTCGCCAAGATGTGAATTTGTTGAGCGTGACTGTGTAATTTGCCCTAATCCTGGCACTACCTGAATGTTGATCTGTCAACTCGCTGCCAGTTGGAAGCTGGGACTCTCTTGCTATCCAACCTACCTTCTCTATCCGTTCCCCCCCTCCGGCCTCCTCTTTTTGTGTCTCTGTGCGTGCAAGAGTGTGTGCTGGATGCAGGCTCGTATCAGAAAACAAAGAGATGATATGAAAAACAGGGTGTTATTGGCTACAAGTATGCAGCGAGCAGGGAAACAATTTGGATTATACAGTAGAGTGATTCACACCAAAATAGAAATTGTGCTGAAGTTTGAAGGATGGAGCAGTGCATGTAAAATTAAGCAACAGTTTGGTGCATTGATAATGAGGAGCCATGGACTGTGCATTACATCGTGCGGGCTGCACAGTCTAGAGGAGTGGTCCAGAATGAACAGTAGCCACATAGGTAATGGCTGCTTGGACGGTGCTGCACGTTATCCTGGACGAGATCCTGGAGAATCCTGTACTCTTTGTGTCCCTATGCCTTGGTTTTCTTCCTGTAGCGGTGGTAAAGCTAAAATTTCATAATGAGGACTGTTCACGGGGCAGATATCTAATCCATGCAATGGTCATTGAAGGAAAGTTTTGTCAAAATCCAGGCACCTGATGAATGACAGCTATCAGGTGATGATCTCGCAGCAGATTTCTTGCATGATGGTCAACTTCGTTTCGGGAGCTTTGAACCTCACCCATCAATGGTGCACCGCAATTGGTGGGAGCTGGGTTGGAGGCGCCGGGACCGGTCAGCGGGACGATTTTTTTAGCTCATTAACTCTCGATTGAATGCGGGAAAAGCTCTTATCAGCCAGGCCAAAGCCCAGATATTTAGTAAGTAGTATTTATGCTGTAAATCCAAGCTAGGCTACTTCCTCCAATTTGCGCGCCCTAGAACTGAAGCACTGTCTTTGCGATCCGGCTATAAACGCCGGGGTGTTTGTTCGCGACTTTGTTTGAGGAGCTTCGGGTCGCAACCGATCATTGACCTTACCTAACTCCTGGCCCACCACGACGGCAGCTCAGTTGGGCCCCGAAACTTCTTAACGTTTCAACCTTCCTCCTCTTGACTGTAGCAGCTTGAGGAACAGCTTCGGACTTCACTCGAAGTCATTCTCTATCGTCAGCATGGATACGCCCGAACTACATGGCCAAGGTGCGTTCTTTACAGGGTGGCGCAACGACGATGCTTTCCCCACCCATAATCTCTCCCAGGTCATCACTGCGGCTAACGCGGGGGGTAGAAAAGCTCGAAGAGGTCACACGGCTTCTTGACATCCTCAAGAGAGATTTCGGTGAGAGAAGACTTGAGCGTGCCAGTATGTGGATAGCGTATCGCCGAATATTTTGCATTTGCTAAGGCAGGTTTTCATAGGACGCATTGAAGTTCTTCAAAAGCTTCGCGTTCATGGGCGCAAACCCGAGAATGCTGGTCCCATTTTTGAAAAAGAGGCATGGAAATTATACGCAGACCCATCTGTCGCCGAATTAACCGGTGATTAGGGAATCGATGTTCTCTCCTCATACGGATTTGGGGAAAAGGACGTTGAAATATCTCGAGAAGCCCTTCGTTGTCTTGCGAATGCTCTCTTCCTCGAAAAAGAGACTCGTCAAATATTTGTGGACTTGGGAAATGGGCATAAGGCGGCTGAGAAGCTCAAAGTGAGTTCTGACAGGCGTGGTTGTTCCAACAAAGCTGCTAACTCATTATGGTGAAGGAAGACAATTCAGACGATGAATTCCTAGCCGCCCGTCTCCTATTTTTTACAACGTACGGTTCTAATTTGGATTTTAATAAGCTATTTGACGAGCACGCCTTGGGAGAAAGCATGAACAATGTATGTCTAGCGATGACGCTTTCGGCTTTTCTTCCATCTGCGGCTAACGTACATATCCAGCACATATATCGGCATTCAAAACAATTTTCTAAAGGCAAAAAGAAGGAACTGACGCAGATTGATGAGCTCGGTCTATCAGAAACTCTCAAGCTGATGTATAACGTGACTAGCTATTACCCTGACCAGGTCGATGCATTTTCTCCTTCGATTCCCCATATATTGAAGATTTTAAACCACATTGAGATACCCACGCCACCGCTCCAGGCACCTGTGAACTATTTAATCAACGCTTTACTTAATCTCGACCTTGAGGCCAAGAAAACGAACCATTTCAGCACGAATCCTCTCTTTCCGAAGTTTGATCAAAACTGCAACGTTGATAAGTTGATTAATATCTTGGACCAAGCCGTTGCGGTGCATAAACCTTCCCACTTGGATACGTTGGCGCTACCCCTTCTCACCCTCCTAAGGAAAATCTACGATATCGCACCTGAAGGGTCCCGGAAGTATATGGAATGGCTTCTTCTTCCAGACGACAGCGAGAGAGACCTACCAATTGGACAGTCGAATACACTGTCTTCGAGACTTCTGCGTCTTTCGACATCCCCTGTTGCTCCTCATCTAAGAGAAGGCATATCAGCGCTGATGTTTGAACTATCTGGCCGTAACGCCAGTGATTTTGTGAGGAATGTTGGTTATGGGTTTGCCGCGGGATTTCTTATGTCCCACAATATGTCTATCCCCGAAACTGCAAAGGAGGCATTCAGCACGAGACCCACGAAGCCAGGCGAGCAAACCGTCCCGATAAACCCGATCACTGGCCAAAGGCTTGATGCTGAGCCCCAGGATACCGGACCTCCAATGACAATGGAAGAAAAGGAAAGAGAGGCAGAAAGGCTCTTCGTCCTTTTTGAAAGGTAGCTCTTTGCCCCTCTAAAGTTTAGTCTGTTTCTGACTGACAACCGTAGGCTTCGAGCAACGGGCGTTGTTAACGTCGAAAACCCTGTCAAAACTGCACTTAGCGAGGGCCGCTTTGAAGAGCTGGACGATCTTGATTAACGCTCGATGCAACCTATTATCTCATTTATTATCTCTGCCAATCGGCTACGAGCGCCTCTAACGCTTCCTGTTTTTGTTTGAATTTTGACAAATGTACGGAGTATGATACTGGGAGGAAATGTTGGCTTGGAAAGCAAGGTTTTTCCAATCTATTAATTCTAATTTCAATGCAAATATGGAATGCTCCGTAAGGGGCACTAACTAAAGAATGAGAACGCAATGACCATTGCAGTTTTTTCTCGGCAGAGATGTCAAGGCAAATTTTTCGGCCATCCAAGGCCAAAGAACCTGATTGTACGGAGTAGGTGTCATTATAACCGGAGATAGCCCGTGGTTCTCAACGGGAACCCGTGTAACTACGTCACTCTCGCCAATTTATCAAAGCTTCCTTTGTTTTCACCTCCATTGCAGAACTTGGATTCCGCCGAATCCGGGGAATGGCGGCCAGCAGAAGCGCATTCAAAGATATGTCCGCTGTGGGGTTCCGTCAGCTGACTCGGCCCAAAGCACAACTTTGAAGTTTCAGCTCCAGTTAACCAATGTAATCCACCCCCGGGCGGGACCGCCGCCCGAGTGAGACACCAAAATATACATACAAATCTCAACTTTTGCTCTCTTACAACATTGTTCCAGTAAAAAGACAATAAAATACTTTAACCTAAGAAATAATTATTATATTTAGATAATTCTTATAATTTACAAAGTTTATTATATCTGTATAGTATCTTCTTCATATTATAATGATCAGACATAAACTTGTTAAGATATAAGAGAGCAAAAAGTTGAGATTTGAATGTACGGAGTATGTTTTGGTTTTTCGCTTGGTGGTAGATTAAGTTACGTGGTTAGTTAGCTAGTTATGTCATCTGTGGCGTCATCGAAAATAGTTTAGCACATGAGCCACATATGTGGCTTGAACCGTCCCGAAGCCACCTGCAGGTTCGTGAAGCTTCATGGGGACGAGGGGCATTGGACGAGGGGCATTTATACACAGCGTGACGATTTTTGGTGTAAAGGTCGAAATATCCTACTAATTGGATTGCTATTTTTCCCTGAACCATTTGAATTGTGCTATATACCCCATTTAACTCAGCATTTGAATTTAAACGACTGTCACGATCGAATTGGCTGAGCGAACAGCTCCGTCTCGAAGGACTCTCTCCAACGAAAAAATCAAAATGTCACAACCAGTACCAGCAGGATTTGATCCAGAGAAGGCAGAGAACTTGGAAGATGTGTGTTATAAACAATGGCTTTGATTTTTCTTTTTCCCCTATTTTACATCAACAGTACTAACATAAAAATCCTTTTGCTTCTGCAGATTGAGAAGCAGTTTGCAGTGAAAGGTTCGTCAATGCCTACAACCAAAGGCTTTCCTTCCTCCCTTTAAGACCAGTAACAAGCATACTGAATTTTGGGCGCTTTCATTAGCTGTCCAGCAAATGGCAACTTACTGGGCTATCCTCGAGAAAACACCTGGCTCCAAATTACGACTTACGAAATTAGATGACGAGATATATGAGCATTTCAGGAATGAATTTCCTGGCTTCGATGTCAAAGGCACTATTGATGAAGACCAAATGAAAAGCAAAGAGGGAAAAGAGAAGTGGCGCAATTTTGCTATGGCGTACGAGAAGAAGGTTAATGATTACAATTTTGGGACGTTGCTAAGGAAAAATCCGAAGTGGGAGTATGGTGAGAAGGAAACCATGTTCGGTATGTCCCATTCATCATCGACTCTGACATGATTTGATAACCATGCGGTTTGCTGAGGCCCCTTTGGAAGACATTGCTAATGACGTTTTGATCTTGGGAATTCCAGTGATTCGAATGCAATTCTATGCCATAGAGATCGCAAGGTGAGCAGGTCGACGGCTATCTGATATTTCTTCTTTCCGCTAAAGCTTCCATTCTAGAAACCGAGAAGGCCTCAATGACTGGATTTATGAAGAGTCCCAAAAAGGGGCTTAGAATACTTCGTGCAGCTAATGGTGTTCAACTTAAACAGCTCCATCTACCTATTATACGTGCCTGGACTCTTGCACATCGATTGCTGAATTGAAAATTCAGCTTGAATTTGCATATGTTGCGATGCATTTTGAAGTCAGCATCAGTTTCACGAAACACCAGACTTGTACTCTATATACATACATGCTACATAAGGTCGGCAGATACAGTTCTTGCTTTGCCATGCACTACACCGTGGATTTTAGTTTGATTCTGGAGCCCGGACTGAATATTGTCTATTGTACGGTCAGCCCGTCTCTGATAAGATCAATAGATTGTCCAACGAAGAGTCAAGTTACAGACCATGTAAATATACATACATGAATTGGCTACAGCACAATTATCCAAAGAGAGTCCATCGCTATGCCATACATATGCTAAAGAATGACAAACAAGCTAATCTAATGTAAGTCTAAGAGAGGGGGCTAATCTTCGGGAAATGATGCATGAAAAAGACAAAGAGGGACACATTTATGCGACATTGGCATTGCATATAAAAAATGTATGTATTTAATTTCAGTTTTGCAGTGTTCGACTCAACGCCCTTATCAAGCGGGGAGAAAAGAGGGTAAACATCTTAAACCTACGCTGAAGTTGATTTTATGAACATTTGTGATGATCATCGCTTTAATCATAATTCTTCTGTTCCGACGTTGGGCGGTTCAGATCAGCCTCTTCATGAGACGAGGCGTGAGAAGTGCCGGCCGTTCTATTTTCGAGAGGCAACTCCTCAACCGGCGGGAGTTCATATTTGGCACTCTGCCATGGTTTGACCCTGAGAATATACATCGTATCCAATTCTTCCAAGGTGCGGCCCGAGCCTTCAATAACCCCGAAATACACAGTGGCCGCTGCGAGAAACAGACATCCGGCGAAAACATAGCCGTATCTGAAATCAATCTTCTCGGTGATAAAGGGGGTAAAGAAGCCGATGAGGAAGTTCCAGAGCCAGTTAGACGCGGTGGCGAGAGCCATTGATCGTGCACGGTAGCGAGATGGGTATAATTCTGCGACGATGGCCCAGATCATGGGGCCCCATGTACTTGCGAATCCAAGAATGAACAGACAGGCGAAGACAACCATGGCAGTGCCTGCCTTGGGAGTGCTCTCGGGGCGCTCCAAATCCAGAGCGAAGTGGCCAACAGATGCAAAGATAAGGAAGCAAATGAACATCCATCCCGCACCCACGATCAAGGATTTGCGGCGGCCAAAGTGTTCAATGTTGTATAAACCGAGAAATGTACTGCCAAAATTGACAGCTCCGAGAATCATTTGAGTTACATAGCTGTTCTCGACGCCAGCGCCTTTAAAGATAACGGTGCCATAGTAGAAGAAGTAATTAGCACCGGTCAGCTGTTGAAGTGCTTGAAGGATGATGCCAAGCAGGAGCCTATATCTCATTCTAGGCGCACGGAACATTTGCCACCAACTTTCATCTTTGGCAGCCATATCCTCTTCGTACTTTTGCTGGATCTCGACGAATTCTTCATGTAGCCTTTTATGATTTTCAGGAATTCCGTAGAACTTCATCATTGTTCTCTTTGCTTCCGCGATCTTGCCTTGGCGGTAAGCATACCGTGGGGACTCGGGGAAGAACATCATTCCAAACCCTAGAATGAGAAGCCAAAGGAAAGTGACCGCCATCGGAATTCTCCACGAGCCAGTGTTGTCAATTCCCTCAGTTCCGTAGTTGATACAATTTGCGACGAATATACCTAAGGTAATAAAGAGTTGATAGGTACTAAAAATAAAATGTTAGCGTGGTGCTTTCGCCTCTTTGTGCTCGGTAGTATCCTACCTGATCATAGCACCCCTGATGTGCTTAGGGGCACTCTCACCCTGGTATAGAGGTACCAGGAGCGAGAGAGCACCGACTCCAAGACCAGCGATCCAACGACCAATAACAACTTGCCACCAGTCTGGTGCTTCTGAAGCCACTTGGACAATGATACCGACAGCGAGCACAATACACCATGAAGATATTGACCACTTCCGCCCCAGTCGGTCTGCAATGGGTCCAGCAATCAACGCGCCCATCAAAGTACCGACAGAAAGCTATACACGACACATATCGATCATTAGCTTTGTCATCCGAAGCTCCACGACAATGCGCGAAGACACTTACTATTGCCACGATCAAACCAGACCTAACGTTGCTGAAATGATAGCCATCCCCGGTGGCGTCTTTCTCACCAAACCTTTTCAAGAAATCCTCCATGGCCAGGATTCCAGAAATCTGGCCGGTATCATAGCCAAAGAGAAATCCACCCATGGAGACGAACATCCCCATGATAACTGAGTGCAATGTCACCCATCGGATTGGAGTTTCCACGAACTGGCCGGCTTGGGCCTCTGCATGTTGAGCGGAGACATCCTTTTCCAATTCAGATGAGGCTCTATTTCGCCCAAAATGGATATAATCTCTAAGTTTTTCCATTTCTCACTTCTTGCGAGATATGTAAGAAGTTGGCAATAGTTATATCTCCACTGATATATCAGATGCACACGAAGGTGTAGTGGAAGGGGTGTCAAGGGATGGACGGCAAAAAAAAAAGGCAAAGGAAAAGAGGCAACTACCCCGTAGCTAAGATGACGATCTTAGCCAACTTTTGCCGACGCATAATTTTATGTTCGACCGACGTGGAGCATCTGGAGCTTTTAAATCCCCCAGTATTGCAAACTCTGCGAGCTAGTATCTTTCGCCGTGCCAAACAAGGAAGATGGTCAGGCGCCTCATATCCCTGGCGCTCCGGCTCGAGTCAACTGACATAGTGGAAACTGGAAGCTCAAACCGCTCCACGAAGCCTTGGAGGTCATGGCCGGCGAGAAAATCTCTGGGTCAGTCTCCATGGGGAACCCCAACACCTTGGATCAAGCGTCGGAGATCTTATCGGCGGGGCGAATAAGTGTACAGATGTACTCCGTACGGACCGCGTACTATGTAGAGATTGGGCTGCGCATCGGCAAGCCACTCCAGGATAAAAGCCGGGGTGTTTCAGTTCCATGGTTTCCATTTCACACATAGCAAATCGGACCACATACGTGCCACCGCATCAAAGTAAAATCAGTCAACGTTGGAAACTCTATGTAGCCCGGAACGCTGATAACCGATGTTCTTTTTTACTTTTGCCTTTCGGACCTTGAGGAAAATCGGTGGAGAACATATGTGGAATCCCACCTATGACGTACCGACTGGGCAAGGTATCCAGCAAGCAGTGATGATCTTCGCCTTCGTTCCCTTTTGATAGCCGCTAGTTACCTTACTAGTGGCAACGAATATCGAAAATGTGGAAGTCTCATTCCTTCTACCAAGGCCGTACGCCTGAAGGAATCGCTTTATTCATAAGGCTATCTGTAGGGACGGGACCGAAAAGCTTGTATAGAGTAACTATGCAGTTAACTTTTGAACAAGATGCGGTCATATATTTCATGCACCATTGGCATGGTGAGTGCGCCTCCACGCAGTGGAGACTGGCTACTCACGGAGGACTTTTTTTTTTTTTTTGGCCAGCACCGGACGATGGGCCTTGGGCTCGATGAGACTTTTTCTGGGCAGATGAAAGTTTAGTTCAAGGTAAGCTACTTATTCTGTATAGGGCTACTCCGTACCTAGTTGAAAAATCACTTTTGCTCGTTTGGAGATGCTTTTGGATGAATACGTTTGTTAGACTAGCAACTGCAAGTGGTTCGCTGGAATTCCAATCCTTTTCTCTTTGAAGTGCTTAGCCTACTCCTAATTCCATTTGACACTTGCTGAAAGGACGGAGTTGACTGGAAACCCAAGGCAGCAAAGCAAAATTTTGGCCTTTTGGCTCTTTAAACTTAGCCGCGCAAAGCCTTTGAAAACCGTAGTGGTGTTATTGTCGGATCGAGTCCATGTTCAATTGCCATCACCTTATTCAAAAGCTACGTGGTTATAGCTTCATCATAACCGTGGGCTGAGATCGGCATCTAAGTTTAAAATCGTTGGTTAATATATGCCCCAGATGTAGTATATCATCCCTAATCAGCCGTCGGTGCTCCGAAGTTCATGATAGCTAGTTGTCTTTGGATGATGGGGTCTATTACCTCTCATCACCCATCCGGACTCTTCTAGGCTAGTTTGCCAAAATGATACTTGCCAGCCAACCTCTATCGCTTCCCATGACCTGGACAACTGCCTAGTGCCGAACTTCACAAAGTGACTTGGCCCTGACAAACATGGACCTTCTACCTACCATCGTAAAATCGAGATAACCGGCACCGAGCCACGACCTAAATGCCCAGGCAGATAACGATTTGCTTCAACCTGGCAAATTCCATACCGACGGGTTCAGTGCTGAGCGATTGAGGCAGCTGCTCGTCGTCACGGTGCGTTTGACCATGCGAGTGTTGTGAGAATTTGTCTTCATTTGGTGAATTAAAACTAGCGACATTTTCTCACTTGATCGAGCTGGCAATCAAGTCTAGCCCAGAGGGGAAGTTGTGGGGAGTAACTCAGTGAGTTCGAATCTGAGAGGTTCAGTTATTGATCGATGCGTGTGTATTCTCAATTCGGTTAACTCCAACATCTTATGCTTCTTACATCTTTAAATAACGCAGCTGGATGCTTGTCTGGAGCGGTGCTCGTGCAGGTTTTCATGTATTTATTGCCATCCTAAGAGACAACTCTGCTTTTTCGGCGTTTCTCTCCCATCAATTGACGTAAAATAATCAAAAACTTGCCCAAATCCAACTCTAATTTGCCTGCATGGATTCATCTTCACAAATAAATCTTCCTGAAGCTGATGGTTTGGATGGCCCCTTCAGCATGTTGAAAACGTAGATTTTGATGGCAGTGAGACAAATGCTCACTTGTTAAGAGCCGGCATGCGACGAAATTTCAGTAGGGCTGGATCGACAGTGCTTATCCACTTTGTATGCAGCTTGCAGTCGAGGTTTGCGCGGTGGCGTCTGGCTGTGCAAGGCTGGCGGCGAGGTAAAACACTTTTAAGGCGAACTCTTTTGGCCTGCAAACTGGGATTTGCTCGATTTTCGTGGGCAATCCAGACATTTAACAGTCTCTTGTTCGCGGATTCCATGTAATTATAATCTCGTTGGATGGTCGTCGGACCACGATAGAGAGATAAACGTATACCAGGAGTACCACGAGTCATAAAATCAAGTCCCCTGAGGCAGAAATCAAGCTCCTTGACGACCTAAAACCCACATCCAGAGGAACGGAGTGTGGATTAGAAAAGTTGGAATACCATGGACACTCACAATTTGGGTTGCAGGCCCTGTCTTGGCTTCCAACCAAGGCTCGTCTCGGGAGCCGGACTCTGTGCTTCCGGCCGTGCGATTTTGTTAGGTAATCCAACTAGCACCTCGCTCACGTGACCCACATAGATTAGCCGAGATTCCCCTTTAGGTAGCTTAGTGAATGACAAGCATATAAGTCCTCCATCAGGTTATAGCCCTTTGCACTGAAGAGCAAGTGTATAAGATTGATTTACAGCTCAATTGGATATTGAAGCTTATGATCAACATTCTGAATGATTATCCTTGTGAATAACAAGATTTTATGAGCACAAGAGAGAGTGTACATTGAGATAGACATCTTCTATACATGCAACCCCTGTAGCTTTCTGGCATGTGACCAGAGAGTGAGTGAAATGCCTGCTAAACACATCTAGCAAGCAAATTGAGCACCTGACAATGCCAAAGCCATGGTGAACTGTATGGACAAACCAGAGCACTGAACTTCTGACTGGAAGGCTCCAACAAACCTTCCTACACCCCAAACCAAGCTTAGGTGGTTGAGTAGGCTCAGAGACAGCCCACCAAATGATGAGCAGGAGCCTAGAGAGGAGAGTGAACTCCAAATGTTGTGCAGAATGATGCTGAATCAACAGAAGATGATGCAAAAGCAACAGAAGTTGATGCAAAGGCAACAGAAGACAGTACAACAGCTGGCACAGCAAGTGAATCTTCTATCAGGCCAAGCAAGCACCACAAACACATCTGCAATAATGCAGGAGAATCTAGAGTACAAAGCTCAACAAGAAGAAGAAGAGAACTGAGAAATAGACTCTGATGAGAAACTAGAAGAATATGTTGGCAATCTTATAAACATAAATATATAAATCAGCAGAGCAATCACCCAATTCACAAAGATCACAAAGACAGTGAAGAAGTCTATAACTCTGGCTGGAGCCAGCAACTATCTAGCATGGAGCAAAGCCATTCTAAAGATAGCTCATCAAGTAGGTGTTGAGAAGATTATTCTGGAAAGGCAAGAGACTTCACCATGGCCAGAGTGCTTGAAGATTTCACAATACTGGAATGTTCAGAATAATTAGCTATATGGTCTAATTGACAGCACAATATCTGCACAAGCCAGAGAATACTTTGAGAAATCAGATAGTCTTAGTGCTTACAAACTCTGGAAAGCTGTAAGAACAGTCTTCCAAGAGAGACCTGAGATACAGCAGGAAAGCTTACTTATAGAGTTAGTAAGAATGACACCACAATCCACTGGCTCAGAAAGAAATTATATAGAGATTCCTAGCAATTCATGGGGAATTTGAGAGATTAGGGTTCAAACAACTGGACCACACTTTACATGATATCTTGAAGATGAACATTATGTCCCAATGGAGAGAGTTCATACAGAACTGATTTGATATGGCATGCCAGAGCAGAATGAACCTACTGGAGAAGAATTTGAAAGATCTACTAAAGAATATCCTCCACTGAATCCCCAAGAAAGACCTGAAGAAAGGTGGATCTACAAAGCCAAATACAAATGCAACAAGCTTGGATCCCCAAAAGTCTTATAAGAATATGAACTCCAAATCCAATCCAGAGAAGAGCTCACTGCAGAACTGGAACTGCTATATTTGTGGCAAATCTGGTTATTTGGCTAAATTTTGCAAATCTAACAAGAACTTGAAGCCTAACAAGCCTAAAGAAGACTCTAAAGACAAAGACAAGGAAACAACTATAGTTGCAACAGACAAGATTTATTTGGTTCATGAAGCAGCCTTCTCTATGAAAGAAGCGCGCAAATCCACAGACAAATGGATTCTTGACTCTGGAGCTGGATCCCACACAATCTCACATATGGATCTAGTTCAAATGGACCCAAAGAGCCATGCAACACAACTGCTTATGGCAAACAGTTTGAAATCAGTCACCAGAGGATTTGGCATGGCCAGCATTCAAACTGACAATGGTGAATTGAGCATTGGGGGGGTTAGAATCATGCCTGACCTCCAGGTTAACCTCATAAGCTTTGGGAAGCTTATACAAGACAGCTTTACAGTGAAACAGCTTTATGTTGATGGAGAACACATCTTTCTACTAGAATTGGCAGATAAAACACAGAGCTTTAAAGCTGTGCTTAATGAGAATGACATTCTAGTTCTATGAATGCCTAGAATACATAATTTACTGGCATATGTGTTTCCAGTACCT